TAATGTTGATATATAGTTTCCCTCAATGTTTTCCACTAGTATTTATTGGTATCCCACCTAATGTTGATATGTGGTTTCCCTCAATGTTTTCCGCTGGTATTTATTGGTATCCCACCTAATGTTGATATGTGGTTTCCCTCAATGTTTTCCACTAGTATTTATTGGCATCCCACCTAATGTTGATATGTGGTTTCCCTCAATGTTTTCCACTAGTATTTATTGGCATCCCACCTAATGTTGATATATGTGGTTTCTCTCAATGTTTTCCACTAGTATTTATTGGCATCCCACCTAATGTTGATATGTGGTTTCCCTCAATGTTTTCCACTGGTATTTATTGGTATCCCACCTTATGTTGATATACGGCTTCCCTCAATGTTTTCCACTAAACTCTTCAGTAACCAACAAGATGCATAAGCGGAATGTACAACTGCGTGCTGACCGTGCCCGCATCACTAGAACTGTGATTAGTAACCCTAATTACTATATAAATATGCTTGACTCGGATAGCTTAAAAAATAGTGAACCTGGACCCAGCAGAGGAGGGCATAAACAGTGTCAACAATGTGAAACATTTGTCTCAGTTGCAGTGTGAGGGGGTGGGAACACTGGGAAATATACATCCCAGCAGCAGTGAATGGATTATAAACCTTTCAAATAAACATCTTTAGTGATAATTCTAGTCTTATGTTTGTGAATAAATTTGAAACTTTTTTTGGCATGTTGATAGAAATTTCAAACTGACCTGTAATGACTGCTTTTATCTTATGAAATCTAGGATTTTTTAACATAACATTACTTTTTTTAAGTTAGCTTAATAAATATTTATGAGAGAAAATAGAGGTTTACATAAAATTTGGCTAACAACTTATGTTGTAGGATGAAATTTACCAAAATATTAGTTCAGAGACATCGAGTATTATGATATGTAGTTTAGTGTGCGTGTTTAATTATAATAGACATCGAGTATTGTGATATGTAGTTTAGTGTGTATGTTTAATTATAATAGACATCGAGTATTGTGATATGTAGTTTAGTGTGTATGTTTAATTATAATAGACATCGAGTATTGTGATGTGTAGTTTAGTGTGCATGTTTAAGTATAATAAACATCCAGTATTGTGAGGTGTAGTTTAGTGTGCATGTTTAAGTATAATAGAAATATTTGTTACATATATAAAAGCTGTAGTAAATAATTTTAGTTTCAAAGTTCAAGAAGTACATTGAGAATTTCAATAACATATCAGATTTGTTTATGTACTTTAGTGTCAATAATGTTTAAAGAAGCCTGATTTGAAGTCTCAAAGATTATTTTACTAAATATTCTTAGTTGAAGAAATTAATTAATGCAGTATTACTTGCTCCCCAGTGGCACAGCGGTATGTCTGCGGACTTACAACACTAGAATCCGGGTTTTGATACCTGTGGTGGGCAGAGCACAGATAGCCCATTGAGTAGCTTTGTGTTTAATTAAAAACAAACAAACAGTATTACTTAATCTTGAAAAAAAATATGCAAGTCAGGAAATAAAGATGTAATCTGAGTTAAGAAGCCATTACATATGAATTTGTGTGTGCATGCTGGATCATTTTACAATGCTTTCAAATTAATATTGGGCCAGGTGGTTAAGGCACTCGACTCGTAATCCACGGGTTGTGGGTCGAATCCCCGTCCCACCAAACATGCTCGCCTTTTAAGCTATGGGGGTGTTATAATGTGATGGTCAATCCCACTATTCATTGATAAAAGAGTAGCCCAAGAGTTTGCAGTGGGTGGTGATGACTAGCTGCCTTCCCTCTAGTCTTTCTCTGCTAAATTGGGACGGCTAGCACAGATAGCCCTCGTGTGGTTTTGTGCGAAATTCAAAACAAACAATGAAATTAAAAAGCCATCACATGTGAATTTGTACATGCACTCTGGCTCTATTTATAAGGTTTTTAAATAATCAAAAGTGAAAATTTCCGTGAACATTGATGCCACAAATCTTTTGTTTTTTATGAAAAGGTTATATTTGCTTAGAAACGTTCGTTTAGTGTTTTCTCAACAAGCTTGTAATTATTTTTAATTTTTAATAAAGCGTGTGTTTTATTGCACAGGAAATGGAAAATGATGATCTAGGTATCCAATGGGTAAGTATTCTTTTTATTTTTATTGGTATTTTTTGACAGTTAGCATTTTAATTTAAACAAAGTTAAATTAAGTTCTTTTTGCATTTAAAAAAAATTGAGATAACAATTGCCATTGATATACGAGGTATTGAGATAACAATTGCCGTCGATATACGAGTTATTCGATATAGTAACTTAAAAACCCAAGTTTTACTATGGTTTTAGAGGGTATACAGATAATTTTCTTACAATGACGAGAAATGTGTCAGAAGTAAAATATTGTTTCTCTTCCCTAAAGTTTGACAAAGCTGAGAAATATGATAGCTTAACAGTTCACAATGTAAGAACAAATATTGTGTATCAACTTGGCACTAAGTAAACAAAATATCTCCACTACAGTTGAAATTTGTATTAAAACTTTTTTATCTATTATCTTTTATTTTTGGCATCTGCATTGATTGAAAGAAGTTTTTTTTCCAGTCTTTTTTATTTTTGTGAGAACCACCTGCTAGTTTTTTGTTGTTGTTAATCAAACTTAATGTTAGAGATTTATTAAGAGTAAATGTGTTTGCAGCGATACTGTAAACTCTGGGACACATTTAAGGTTATGTTTCTTGTATTTTATCCCATTCAGTACTCTTCATAAGCATATTGTTGAATATATGTAGATATTATGTACAATTCTCTCCCGGTTATCTTAATGAAGTTGTAGGTGGGAGTTATAGTTAGCCAAGCCTCTGTGAGCAAATGGAGATGATCTTTAAAAAATCATAACAATCATATAATATACTTCAAGAACCGGATAACTGCAAAAATATTAAGTAAAAGTATGAATAATAATTACTTATGATCAAAGATTTCTAAACTTGAGGCATCTTATCTTACAGAATGAAAATTAATGGGTAAATAACTTAATGATAGCTTTGTATTTTTACCTTGTAATCTCGATGCAAAGTAAATGATAATATTACTGACTTGGTGGATATTTTACATAAGTGTAGCTTGCAGAGAAAACCCTTTGAAAATTGAAGTGTGGGATTTTGTATACAACCATTTTTATCCAGATAAGATGTAGAAAGGAGATCACAAAATGTTGTTTCAGCAGAACTTTAGACAGCATAAACGTAGTTGGTTTGAGAACTATCGTGGACTAGAACTTTAGACAGAGTAAACGTAGTTGGTTTGAGAACTATCGTGGACTAGAACTTTAGACAGCGTAAACGTAGTTGGTTTGAGAACTATCGTGGACTAGAACTTTAGACAGCGTAAACGTAGTTGGTTTGAGAACTATCGTGGACTAGAACTTTAGACAGCATAAACGTAGTTGGTTTGAGAACTATCGTGGACTAGAACTTCAGACAGCGTAAACGTAGTTGGTTTGAGAACTATCATGGACTAGAACTTTAGACAGCTTAAACGCAGTTGGTTTGAGAACTATTGTGGACTGTAATTGCCTGTTGAATGAGAAGGTGGCATTTCTGCTTCTATACTGATGCGTCACTATAGAAACTGAAATGTCGTCACCTTTCCATTTAACAGGTATTTGCAGTCTTTAAAGTTCTAACTAAGGAAACCACTAAATATAATGACATAAATGTCTGGGTAAAACTTAACAAACTATAAGATCAACATTTGAGTATTTTAATCAAAATACATAAATGTAAAAAATTAGGCCTGTTTTAAGTTGTCAGACTAAAAGTCTGTGCTAGGTAACCTGTAATGTTTTCAAGCTATAAAATACCATTAGAATACATTTACATTTAAAGATACCACCTTTCATATGGTTTACATGAAACTGAATAAAAACCAAACTGTATACAAGGTCCGTAGACTTGTATAATATAAGCAGCAATGGATTGAAGATAGTTAAATTTGTATCGCACAGATGAAGGATGTAATGTGTTAATAACGTAACTACAGAAAAATTACTTTGTAGATTCTTGTAATTCAATAGATATGTAAAACCATGAAGTATAAAGGCTGATATGTATAATAATTTACCAAAACAATTTTAGTTGTCAGTGGACAGTGAAATGGGGTTTCTAAAGTTTGTCTATGTGTGGTATAAGTTGAGCTTCGACCAGGCAAGAGTCCTAACAAACTAAGTTATCATGTCTCAAACTCTAATCCACTTCTATAGTTTTGTAAAATGATGGAGACGAGGTGTTGGTATCACTAATGGTATAATTGTTTTGACTATTATTCTGGTCTTTATTATGTGTATTATTATTTTCATGATGTTTTCACTAGTTAATTTGTAAACCTATCATCGTGTGTTACATCAGACATCTTGTATGCATCACAACGAAGAAGTTTTTTGTGGAATTACCCGGATTCGAACCCCCGAAACTGTGATCCTGAATACAGACATTAACCGCTTACTGAGTTTGCTCTCATGTTGTTAACAAACATGTGATTAAGGAATTGTATGTGTCCATTGCACTTACTTGTAATTCTCCATGATTTTATTTTCTTGTTGACATTCAGGTTATTATTTTTGCTACGATACATTTGAAAGTCATCATTAATTCGGATCCAACTATTTTCAACAATATTGGAACTTCTACAACTTTTTTGGAGGCCTTATTCATGCAGTCTGCCTGTAATGAGCAGGGTGGTCCCATGGCTGTATTGTTAGCCCTTACTGATCAACACATTCAGGCCATGTCTGATGGTGTCTGGCAAGTTTCACAGTCCTGTGAACACTCAATTTGTGTAACACCCTCCCCACATGATTTTGAACAAAATTTATTTTTTGGCTCAGGCCTGTTACCTCTAGTGTCTGCAGAGCAGGATTTTTCTGCTAGCCCTAACCATGTAAGTCTCATTTCTCTGTTCTCTCGAGCATGTTCTATTTTAAATCTAAAACCAATTTCTGTTGCACCTGAGGGTGCTAGTGTCATTTTAGATGATTCAGTACTTGAATAGTTATTATTTCCACCCTCAGGTAGCTGATCATGACTTTCTAAACTATCAAATTATTAATATCCTCCTTGTAGTCTTTTAATTTGATCGATTGAAATTTTGTACCTTGCACACTATTATATGTCTTGTTTTGAGATTTATTTTCTTCTTCACAGTTATTAACAATCCTCATTTTCCTGATTCTTTTAGTCAAGATCATATATCTAGTTTGCTGTTCTTTATTAACTGCAAGTAACACTGATGTTTTTTTCTGTTGCCATATAAGTGTTATGTTCATTTGACACATTAGCCAGTCATGTTGTGTTACAAGGTACTTGGCCTCTCCTCATCATTTTAGCAAACCTCAAAAGCTTTTTTTTTCCTGTATTACTTTGTCTTAAAGGTATTTTACCTAGAGTGGGTTTACATTCAGAAGCACACCAACAAAAATTGATTGGGATTTTAACTTCTCGTTTTGTTTCTGCTGGTTATTCTAAAAGATGACCAACAAGTAATGTTTGTCCTTTATTGGTTGACGGTTACTACATCTGCTCGTACCTGTAAACCTTTTTGATTGGCTTACCATTGACTTTTTTTGTTTAGGTGATTCCTTCATCTATACTTTCTTTGTGGTTCATCTTGGCTTTGAGATCCTCAGGTTGAACAGATTTTCTATCCAATTTTATCATCTTTTTTCCATTTTCAACTCTTCCAGTTTCTTTTTCTATCATTTTGATCCAGTTTGTGTTCAACTTTTGGATCAGGAAGCTTCAAACCTTTTACAGAAATGGGCTTTCAAAACATTACTTCCTGTTTCCCAACTTTTCTACTCTCATCTTCTCATAATGCTTAAGAAAAGAGATTATTAGCTAGTGATACATTTTTCCTGTCTTGATGTTTATATATATAAATTCCTCATCTCGAGATGGAAACCATGAGAAAGTTATGGAAATTCTTTCATCAGAGTTTTTGGATGGCAAAAGTGGATTTCAAAGATGCTTATCTGCACGTTCTGATTCTCGCTTATTCGTGACATTTTCTTGTTTTTACCAGGGGGAATGGTTTGTAAGTTCTCTGCCATCCAATTTAGTTTCGCTTCAGTGCCTTATGTTTACATGTGTAACCAAACTATTTGCTAGTCTTATGCACACTCTCAGTATTGATTTTCATCTTTTTATGGACAGTTCAATTAGTTTATCATCACTTATCACTTCATTTGTTCACTCACACTCAATTAACCACCCACTTAGCTACCTCTGGGTTGAATTATTCACGAGTCCCACACTCAGCTTGTACCTACTCAAAATCTGTTGCATATGGGATTTTGGATAAACACTTTTCAAGGAACATTTTATTTGGCTTTGCGGTCATTGAAGATTCTGGTGGGCCAAAGTTCCTTTTAGATTATGTACACCTCACACATAGTCAAGCACTAAACTTGTATGTGCCATGTATGTCAAGTCATGTTGCTTACAACTTCCTCTCAAAACATAGCTCACACTTTTTCGCGTCATTTGCGTTTAAAATATTAAATGCTTTTCTTATTTTCTGGAAATGCCTTCTCAACCATGGTTTCCACTAATTTGTCTATCTCGGAAAGGTCCTATTCTATTACCTCACTGGAAACATCTACATCAGCCTCAAATGTCTATCTTCCATAGCGAGGTTCGGAAAGGTCCTATTCTATTACCTCACTGGAAACATCTACATCAGCCTCGAATGTCTATCTTCCATAGCGAAGTTATGTGGTCCTTCATAAGAGAAGCCAGCTTCTCTTCTCGTATAACTTGAATTTTGTTAGTTTCTTGCAGATACCGATACCTAATCTTGTACTGATCTCATTGATCTGTTTTCAGGAGTTGATGCCTTTGAAGTTCTGTTTAATGTCTCTTCACCAAGTTATCAACCGATTGTCTCTCGTTTTATGTACTTTTTGACTTGTGCAGCTCATCCAAACATCTTCAGCATGAATTTTAGATTACATCTCATCAAGTTTGCTATTTGGCAATGTCTTTGATTTCCTGGTATCTGTAACCTTTGGAGGACATCTTACAATCTGGCAAGTAGATAGCTTGGGTTTTATTTGTTTTGAATTTCACACAGAACTCGACAGCTTG